AAAATGTAATTTGAATCCGTCTATGGTATATAGATTGTTGCTCTTTAAATTTGAATATGAGCGAGCCCTATACAAATCTTATGTTATTAATTTGATTATTATTATTTATAAATATTAAAATAGTATAGGTCAGTTGGCCGCAATATATAAACTGTGCTTTGCTGTAAATGTTATAAAGTGTTAAATAATATACAGGATCTGTGATATATTCAACTTGTGTAATTATCATACATTTTATTGTATTAAAAGTCTCGCCTCTATTTTAATATTGTATTATGGCTGTACAGTATGTTACTTTTATAAACACACTGCAAGAGCGTGTCCGCTGTTTTAAAAGCGTCGTTTCCAAAATAAAGTTATAATAACTATATAATAGTATGCAATAGAAACAGCAAATCATTATAAAGATTATTAAACATCACCTTTATTTTCATTGTCATTCGTATTTATACAGGCTGTACAAAGATTTGAAATTAAGAACCATTTTCTAATATTGTTTAGCGAACAACCTTTAAAGATCGTCAGAAAAGGTCGGGGAAAAACAATTTTTTTTTCTTATTTAGCTTAAATATTTTTCCGAACGCATATAGGCGAATGAGAAAATAAAAATAAAATTTTAATGATGAACCTAAACAGTGTAATAATGCAACTGATAAATGATTTAAATTTATATAATTAAGGAAGAAATTTAATAGATATTTAATATATAACTATTAAAAACATATTTAATGTATAACTATTAAAAACAATTAAAATCAAAGAAAAGATTACCATTAAATAAAATAGGTCGGGTCTTCATTGATTAAAATGTGACGAATTAACGATATAATTGAAAACAATTCTAATTTTAATTTCAATCATTTACGCGAGCACGGAATTTACGCGAGCACGCACGCGCGCAAATATTCGATTATATATGAATTCTTATATGCTGTCCATACTAAGTGATTTTAATTATAAAATATAATTGTAAACCCAATTAAGTGTGTGAAATTAATAAGCAATGTACGTAACACACTGTACTTTGCATGTGTTCATCGGGAAGATTATGAAACAAAATGGACGGTGTGTACCACGTGACTTTCGTAAACCAAGGAGCGGAATGTCGCAACTCTTTGTATATATGGCTCTGATTTACGGCTCTGATTCTGCACCATGTTCTGCACTGATTCTGCAATGTCTCCTTCGTAGTCTTTCAACTCCATCCAGCATTGTTTATTATGTAAAACGCCACCTAGAGAGGTATTAAAAAAAATCATTATTCTTCCTAAAGCGCCATTCCTTTATGATGGAGATATGATGGTAATGATGACAATAATAATTATATGGTGGTTATGATGATATTAATGATGTTGATGACTGTGATAATGATTATGATGATGATGGTAATGCCGATGATGGTAGGCCCCAATTGGTGGGGATGATGATGTTAATGGCGATGATGATGATGATGATGACGGTAGTGGTGGGGATGATGATGTTGATGATGATGATCGTGATGATGATGATGGTGGTGATGATGATGTCGATAATTATGATCATTGATGATTGTAGGATAAGAATCGACTTTTTAAAAGAAAACGACTACCAGTGGAATCAGTAGAGGCTTTAACTTTTAATTCTTCAAAACATACACCATGAACATAACCGGTGATGTAATAATGACGTTCAGCGTAGGAAGGATGATTAACGAGTCCAAAACTGCTTGGAGCAACTCACCCTTCCATGCAGCTCCCGTTTCACAATATACCGTACTGTACAATGAGTCCAAAAGCTACCTGAACCGTTTCACCAAGGCCGACGTCGGAACCGCGCTGGTTTTGGCCGGACCGCTTTTTCTCAATACCATTACTTATTTTAATAAGAATATATTGATACCTATATTATGTGAATTTATTATTAATGTTCGCATCAAATTGTCTGTTTATGTTATATACCTATTTTATTTTTTAAAATGCGCTATTTTGTATTTTGTTTATGTAGGCCTATATTTCAACTTATTTTTTCAATCCTTAATTTTAGTAATTTAGATCAATTTTGAAAATGTTTATAGGTATAAATATACAATAGCAATTAACTATTATAAAATTGTGTGGGTGGGAGCCGGCCAAATCTGTATCAATAATATATGTATGATATATATATTCATAATTCAGTATTAATATCATATGTCTGTATTGTATTATTATTATTATTATTATTATTATTATTATTATTATTATTATTATTATTATTATTATTATTATTATTATTATTATTATTATTATTATATTGTATTAGTCTATCTGTTTTATTAGGATATGAGTTCTATCTGTTTTGTTAGCATATACTGTTTATCTTTTATGTACATACGGAGGTACACAGTTTATTTTTTTCTGGTTCTGTTTTGTTTTGTTTTTTTTTTCTATTCTACATTTTTTACTTGGCTTGTTCCATTTTTTAGTACATTTTAAGTTACTGTAACTTTTTTGATTATCCTTTATTTTAGTTTATTATTCGTTGAACCATGGAGGGTTAAACGCAATAATAAAGTGAAAATAATGCCGTTTATCAATACCAGTATGCTGAAAAATATATAATAATCATTATTATCATATTATTATCATTACCATTTAATATTATTATACTGTATTAATTACTTGTTATTGTTATTATTATTATTATAATTATTATTATTAATTATATTATTGTTACCACTGTCCTTTTAAAGTGAATAGATAATGTCTTCTAAACACATTTCTGTACCTTTGTCTAAATATCCGGCGACGTATGCGGGAAAAATCATCATTATTATTATTATTGTAATCATAATCATCTGCATCATTATTATTATAACAGAGAAATTATTTATCATCTTCATCATCACTATCACAACCGTCGTTTCACTGTTAACAGCAATGTGTTACTACACATAGTTCTATGCCTTTTTCTTAACAGATGACTCATAAAACACCATCAATTCGAGGCGACTACAATACTTATAGGCCTACATGTTTTGCAGGTTACAATAAAACTAAGTAGGCCTATTGATTTTGTTTTTGCTTGTTAATATTATCACATTACTATTAGGCCTGCTTGTATTATCATTATGATTATTATTATATATTATTAACATATATCATCTTAGTTAATGTCGTCTCGCACTCATTTTCGTACCTCGTTTAAATGCCCCGCGTTGTATGCGGGAAGAGTATAATTATTATTAATATTACATTATTATTACAATACCGTAAAATCCTCGAATTGAAGCCCTGGGCTTCCTTTTTTGCGGACTTTATATGGGCTTCTTTTCGAGATGGGCTTCATTTCGAGATGGGCTTCTTTTCGAGGCTACTTTTGCAAAGTAAAGGGTGGGGGGAGGTCTTTTCAAAATGAGTACTGTATATTTGGCGAACTTGCACTATAAAACACTGTAAAATCATTCTGTATCATGGAGTGACATGGGCTTCTTTTCAAGATGGGCTTCTTTTCGAGGCTAATATTGCAAGCTAAAGGGCTTCATCCCGAGATTAAGGCCACTGGGCTTCAATTCGAGGTTTTACGGTATTATTACCATTACAACTGCCATTATTATTATAGGCAAATCATCCTCATAATTTTCATCATTATAAAAACCGTCGTTTCACAGTTAACAACTTAGTGCATTATATTATATTCAGTTAAGCCCCTCTCCCACTAGGGGTTTTTTCAGCATACGAGTTACAAGAGAATGCCGAGTTGCTAACTCGGCAAAAACTCGTAGGACGATTCGGAAAGCTCGGATAGGACTCTTACCTAGGCCTACTCGTAGCAGCTCTGAACTCGTGGCGCTAATTTTGAACATGTTCAAAATTATCGCCACGAGTAGATAACTCGTAGTAAACTCGAAGAAGAACTCGTAGGTAGCTCGTAGAGTAACCGTGGTACTACTACCTAGCTCGTACACTACTCTGGATACTCGTCGGCGGTTTTGTCATCTACGAGTTTGATGCGAGCACCCAAAAAAGAGTACGAGTAAGTACGAGCGCACCGAGTTGGCTCGTACCTAACTCGTATCTAATTCGGTACAAACTTGTTACGCTCGTAATAATCTCGGAGTTAACTCGGTGCTCTGCTCGGCATAATTCGTACATAACTCGTAACCAACTCCATAAAGTCGTACCTCACTCTTAGCTAACACGTAATAAGCTCGTATAGGTCCTTTCCAAAGATCACGAGTTTTAACTCGTAGAAATCGTACGACTCTTAGGTGAAATAAACCTAGGTGGGAGAGGGGCTTACCCTTTTTGTTGACAAATGACTCTTAAAAAATAGCATCATATTTGTGACGATCATATATTTAATACAATACTTTATACATGTTTTATTTGCAGTATAATAACACATAGTTTTAATTTTAAGAGGGATGTAAATATACGTCAACATATACATATTTATGCATAATCCTAAATCATGTAAGATGCCAGTATGCTGTAAAATATTTAATAATCATTATTATCATATTAATTTTCCTATTATTATTACCATTTAATATAATAATAATAATTTATTAATAATAATATTATTATTATTATTATTATTATTATTATTATTATTATTATTATTATTATTATTATTATTATTATTATTATAATCATTATATATTATATTTTAACATTATGGTCTTGGTTAATGTCGTCTCACACCCATTACCGTATGCCTACGTCGTTTAAATGCTTAGCATTGTATGCGGGAAAGCGTTTAATTATTAATAACATTTTTAGCTCTGATGAGGAGCTTTAAGAGTACCCTGATTGATTGATTAATTAATAGATCTTTTTTGTATGGGCAGCCGTTACGGCAAATATACTCTACTGCCTCTATTATACTGCCCTCATAAGAGCTTTATTATAGGCAAATCATCATCATCATTTTCACAATCTCACAGCCGTCGTTTAACAATAAATATCTCATTGCATTATACACTCTCCAGTTATCCTTTTTGTTGACAAATGATTGATAAAAAATAAAAACACCATAAATTCGTGGCGATCATATATTTAATACAATACTTCATACATGTTTTGTTTGCAGTATAATAAAACATTAGGCCTATCTTAATTTTAAGGGGGATGTAAATCAGCTTCAATATATACATATTATATAATATGCATAATCCTAAATTATATAAGATGTATACATTATTTACACATACAGACGCATAAATACTATATTAATATATAACATATTGTATAACATATATATCATACATCTGTACGGTATGTCTACATTTCGGTTGACTTACGAACACCATTTTGGGCAACACATGCGATTCAGACAGTAATAAAATAATCCATGTAATGTGCACTACACGGCAGCGTTTGCGTACGTCATCTATCAAATTCTGACATAAAAAAAAAGATAAATATCTGTAGAACTTTTCTCAAGCTCTTCGACATGAATAAAAATGAATGTGGAGACCAACACATCTCTGCGTACTTCCTATATAAGAAAATGTACGGTCAAACAACGGTGGCCACCTGATCTTACCATGGCGATATTATCGTCGTGGAACAGAAAAACCAGGGATTTTTTTTTAACGTGATACAATTTAAAATAGATGGTGTAGATTGTGCGCCAACATCTAGATATCAGAATTTCCATTCTCTTATTACCAGTATATACATTACAAGTAAATTATTCTGTAGGCCTAAAGCGAATAAATTATAAAATTCTCTCACTCTCTTTCCACTCATAAATACAATATTGTTTCTTTAGGCTTCTCTTAACTCCAACGAATGATCGAATTACGGAAGATATATGTGGCGTTTTCATGTACTGTGCATATAACATGAAATAGATTTTCCACATACAACATGACTATCACAATCTGAAAATCTGTTTTTATTGGCACTAGATCACGATGGTCAGGTAAATATAATTGAAGTAAAGATAAATTGAACATTATGATTTTAACACTCATCATCATCGATTTGTACGATTACCAACCGAAATGGAAGAGACAAATTTAATTTTTAACATAAAGCTATTAATAATACAAATTCAATGAACTAATTAAACAAAAACTGAAATTAACATTTAGTCGGGGCGCTTACAATATTTATGGGTGTGCGCCACTTTAATTTGAGCATTGAGCGAGGTGCTTATTACACATAATAGAGTGTTATTGTGGTACAGGCTTACGGATGGAGAACATTAGTTGTGAGATGAGCACATTCAAAAGGAACCTTGAATACATTCTGGTAATTAGACCAAATAAGAATATATTTGGTTAACGTCACGTCCCTCTCTTGATTTTAACCAAAGATGAATTTTAATATTCATTCATAGATGATATACAAATTAGGCCTACTGCAATTGTAAAACGTTTAAAGCCTATTATAAACAACACTAAATGGGCAAATTAATCACACTCTGCCTTGGCAAGCTAATATCTGATCAGATGAATTGTAGTTCACGATTTGTTTCCTTAAAAAAAAAAACACAAAGAAAACACGCCCTATTGTCCTGACCCCTTTTATTTTTACGAATGTGACGTTAACAAGTATAATATACGTTTTGGCCTTATGCAGCAGATACATCGTCAAAATCAGCCTTTAGCTAACACTAAAGGTATCAGATTGTGGTTAATTTAATATAAATATTCGTATGACTATCTCGTCGCAATCTGTCTGGGTGAATTTATTATCGTATCTAGATCTCAGCTACGCTTAGCTCACAGGGTCGCCATGGCCACAGTAATCCAATTTTGGGCTGTAAACAGGTTCGATACACATACGCCCAACCAGACTCATGGAATGCCCAGAATAAAAATAAGTTGAAATATATCTGATCCATAACTACCACAACTTAATACGTTTTTTTAAATTAGTAGATAGTTCCTGTATGATTGTTATATTTGAAATAAACAGTAATCAAGAACAATAGATAGAAGGAATAATTTTATTTATTTTTTTCTCTTCAAGGCCAAAGCAGCTGGTTGTGTTTTTTACATTTACTGCCAAGAATTTCCCTGCGGGCACTGCTACCGATGGATTTCAGGGATCGTTTGAGCGTGTAATTATCAAACCAACTTGCCAATACACTTCAATAAGACAATAATTGTGTTGGAGTCTACAGGCTAAACCCTAGATCAACGCTTCGTCACGCCAGTGAGGTTTCGACCAGGTGACACTGTCTGTCGAGATACGGTTACACAAATTACATAAAACTTTAAAAGACTTCCATTTTTACTTCATTTCAGATATTTCAAACACTACATAAATCGCTATGCTTGATCACTGTTTCTTCGGTGATTTGTTTTGCGTTGAAATGTGTTGTATTTTATTGATAAATGGCTTGAATACTGACATCACTGGGATGGGTAAGCAAGGAGGATATGATAAACAAAAATCGTAGATTCAAAACATGTCATAATCCAACTTAACCAGTGCATTATTGTACCAATCAACTGAATACCAACGTCACGTGACACTTATGCGCATGGGTAGTGCTTAAAGTCGTAAGATTTAATATACAGCATATTATCGTAAACTCTCTTGTCATGAAACAAAATATACAACTCCATAATAATAACGTTCGTTGAGTTCGAGACACGCTCACGTACTACCTTTCCTCCGTTGTAATCGGATGGTAAATAGAACATTTATAAAAGTTTTTTTTTATTCACATGTTAACTTCTCATTCAAAAATATGTACATAGCTGTAATAATATGCCGTATGTATACAATTTATAGTACTTTACAAAATTTACAAATTGGATGGCTTTAGATTGCTATCGTTTCAAGGAAAACGTGACCAAAACTGTGGCTAGTAATAAGATAATTGTCCAAGTTGTGGATGCATGTAACACGTTAGTCCTATTTGGCAGGTTTTCACTCGGTTCTACTCGCGGTGGATCTTTTTCAAATATACTAGTTCTATTAACCAACACAAGTTTCGGGTTGGGATGCAATCTTTTCACATCCATGAAGGCGTGCTGCGCAGCCAGCGAGAAATTCACGTTGCCTGTCGTCATAAGATCAAACACGCACGAATCGAAATAATCATTCGTGACTTCCGCTTTCTTGCACTTAGCAATGGCTTCCGTCCGAGAAGTTAATGTTCGAGTTGTTTCAAGGTTTTCAAGCTGCTTATAACGAAGACTTAAAAAGTCTTTAAAGTAAATTCTTTCCCGTGCTGGGCATCCTTTGACGCATAATTGCAAGGCGTCTTCTTCCTTGTCCTGGATTAAATCCTTTGGCATACTGAGCGCAAATGTCAGATAGCGACCCACCTGACGAAGCACGATCGTGGTGGCCACATATTGCAAGTGAATTTCTACATGTCTTCCCGGTATCATCTCCAGTATGACCACACTCTGCCTAGGCCCACTTGTGTTTGTACCATCAATAAATGCAGCCGGTAATCTCCCACTCTCGGCGAAATAAATCTTCTGTTCAGCACACTTATCATGTGATTTGATCACAACCGATATCTAAAGAAAAAAAAAAAATGAAAAAATAAACACTAGAAAAGTTGTACTATGTCTAGGTCTACATTGTTGGTGTCATACGAATGGCAATACTTGTAATTTTTTAAATCATTTTCAAACAAGCTTGTAAGCTACACACATGGACAAGAGGTCGGATGTGGTACGGTTCTAAAATGTAATTCGTAAGATATAAAAATATAGGCTATTTTGACGCGCGCCATTGTGGTAGTCATGGGTGATGACGTCACAGATTTCCGGTCGTAATACTATCAGGAAAAACATGCCTACAAACGAAATTACAGCACATCACTAACCACATGAAGGAAAAATAAATCAAAATTGTTCAGGAAAACAGATTGCCCGAACCATCTGAACGAATGTCTTTAAGCTCCCATCTTGCAGTTGTCTGGTTTTTTAGGACCTTGTCATTCCACGGTATTCCAATTTTACCGAATGTTACGTAATTTAAAACCGACGGATTGTTCAATGGACCATAACAGTTGTTGTGTTAGGCAGGGATGTATGATTCTTCAGGGAAAAAAAATCTCAGAATCACGATTTTTTAAGCAATGGTCGTGATTTCAATAATATCTACAAAATTATAATAATAAAATAATATTAATAATAATAAATATTATCATTAATATAGCTAAATGATGACAAGACTAATACATACTAGGTCATATGCCTAAATCTAAATTATTTAGGACTTAGGTCAAGCGTTACATGCGATGTCGTATTAATATACGCGTTAATATGTCGGCACTGTTCTGAACATTACCGCAGTCTTTCAGAGAAATATTAATAGTAACAAAAACATTTATGAGAGCTTGTAATATAGTACTTTAGTAGTCCTAGCAATTAATAAAATAGCCCGGATGTTTGAATTTGAATATCAAATTAAAATGATGAACAAAACGTAGTCTTCAATACAACTTAATCGACGATGTTGACTTTCGATATGATAACAATACCACATGGAATATTGCTACAATACACTCTGTCGTGATATTTCATCTACAATTTCCGTTCGGTATTAAAGCGAGTTAATCCGCATACAGGTAAAACACAGGTTTCCACACGGCGGAAGACCGAGGAGATTCAAGCCTGATGACGAGTACAGCTGAACAAGCTGTCGTTACTTCCTCACCAATATTCTAGATTAAGTCACCATCCGTTGGTACTGTCATCGTTCATATACAGCCGTCACTCAATTTTATATGAATATAATTATATAAACAATATTGTCTTTTGACATCATCTCATTTGCGAGTATGTAGGCCTAAGCGTGCATGCTTAGGTAGGCGCGAGTAAGTGAGCTCGTGAACATTCATGATGTATAGGCCATGGGTAATTTATAATTGCCTTATACCCTGTACTGTACTTTTATAATACTTTTTTGCTGCTCTTGTATAACTATAAAGACATATGTTATCACATGATTTCAACTTGGTACGAGGGAATTCCTGAATAGGCCTAAGGTAGTTCTGATTTAATATTCAAGAATATTTGAGCAATTGATATCACAGACCTCGTAAATACAAGCTTTATACTTTGTACACCACAACTAACCTAGTTAGGACGGCGGGGTAGTGTGAAGTGTTTCGTATTTCAGCATTTCGTGTTAACACGATCGGCTTTCGATCGTATCTGACAACTGTGAAAATACTAGTCTTGAAAATCAATATCTCTGGATAACGTATGCCGTTGTAGATAATATTAAATATGTGAAGGTCGGGTGAGTTAGCCGCCTTCATGCGACCACATACCGACACTGCGCTTCACCCTATTACAGAAGTGCGAGCCTACCGTGTCTAGCCAACAGATGGTTGACAAAAACACACTGGTAGCCTAAATAGAACCGAGTTTTACACTTTCAGTGGGTTGTTTTGTGACACCAGGTAGGCTAATTTGTCGCAGTATCGCAGCAGGCTAGAGGGGCCCAGCGTTTCATGCGAATTCCACATGAAATACAATCGAGCGAGCATATCATACGACTGCAATCCAATATATTTGACAAGATACGTTTCACGTTCACAAAATAGACTTCTAAGGGTGTGGTTCATTTCTACAAAACACAACTCATCATATGTATTGGTCTATATAGCTTAAATATATATAATTCCCCAATTAGGCCTATCTTACTGAATTTCTTGTAATGGCGAAGTAATATAAACGTCTATTCCCCATCTCCATTAACCGATGAAACTATGGAGGTACTGCAGTATAAGAAACTGAATGCTATAAATTTCGTCAGAAATAATTATTTATGTTTGTGACGCTGCCATTGTCAACCTAGGTCAAAACAATTAAAGCTATCGAAATAACGTACCAGTGAACAGTACATAGTGCATCAATAGGATATGCCTATATCGGTTCACGGAACACTGTATTCTCCGTGGTAGGCCTACGTGCAAACGCGCGATCGTGGTTTGAACAAACTAGTGCAATACGAAAATGGACTATCAGTGCGCGCGTCTTTATGAATGGCAATGTGGTTAAGAACCTACAATTGCAACTGATTGTCGAGATTAAGAACAACAAAAAATTCCGTTCACTATAAAAAAAAAAAGAAGCTTGGTTTATTCAAATACTACTACTATCACTGTAAGGTGAATCCCACAATGAACTTAAATCCATCAATAACACCGGAACATCTTATGGGATAATCTATTTTCAATATTCGGGGCGTTCATACAATAGTTCATAAAATAAAAAGTCGGGTTACCATTGCTAAGCGTAGTAAAAGTCACCCTTACCAGTTAATTACAAATTGAAACATAATTGAAAAGTTGACATACTGATTTCATCACTGAAGAGAATGAACTTTCTCCAAACAATATCTTAATAGAATTTCAACTCTACAATGCACTTTTTTGCGGCAGGAAAATACCGTACTGTAAGTTTTAGGAAGTACAACCATACAACAAACAGTACTTCAAAAGATTGCGTGCGCCCTATATAGCTCGCTTGAATGCGCGGATTGTCAATGAGGGGCTCCGTTAATTACAACAGGCGTTTCCAGACTAGTTTATAGGTCGTATATATACCTTACATATCCGCACTGATTACTATAGAGTACTGGTATATGGATCCATGCCTCCGCCGTTATGTTTTCATTTTGTGTTATAAATATATCTATAACACAAAATGCCGGTAATAAACTCTAATATAATTATAATATTCGGTAGACCTTTAGTTCCCTGTTGATAGAGATACTCTGGTTGCGCGAAGTTGTGAACTGATTCTTACGAAATGTGTTAGTTTGGATACTATGATATTTGGCTTTTTAAATTTAGTCCTCTCATTCCTTTTAAATTCTTGGCAAGAATAGATTTCTCTGAGGAAAGGTTTGCAGAGATATGATAGGCATAATGAGGATGTCATTAATTAGTTAATGTAAATCACGGCGAAATGTATAGGCCTAGGCCTACAGTCCTGCATCATCTCACCAGCTTAGTTTCGGATACCCCGGATTTCCGGATGTGGTAAGGGGCTAAATCATTGTCCTTCATTATGTACCAAGTTATGTAATGCGAACTCGAAGCGTTAATGTAGCATTATTTAATGAGAACTCAAGATGGCCGCGGGAGCGATAAATCCGCCATATGGTCAGCACGTAAGCTTCGCATTTGTGTTGCTAATGACAGCTTCTAAATGACATGTAATTTGTCTTCATCTGTTACAACACATTAATGCGTTTTTCCTGGATGATTCTGCAGTACTCGCAAACGCAATACTGACTAAAGGTAGCAGGAAAACACGACTAAAAACCAGACACACGGGTGTGCTATAGTTACTTTAAAAATAACTTGTATCGGAACTGTGTCATTCGTCGGAAACACAGCCTCCCTCTTTGTGGTTTCGGTTGTTTCCGTGGTTTCGGGACAAGGTTAAAGCTCCGATAGGCCTATTACTCGACACGAACATTGTAGCAGCAGTTATAGTTAATTGCTCTACTCCGGTATTGATGATATATACAATTATATATACATATATTACATACACATTATGTACACATATACATATACATATATACATAAAAATACATTAATTCTGTAAATGTATTTTTACAGTGTTCTGTATGTTTTATCTTCTCCTTGTTTGGAGGTTTTTTTTTCGATGAATAAATAAATAAATCTGCATGATTGCACGACCTTTATAGCTAAAGTCCTGCATTGACAGCAAGCCCTCTGATGAAAAACGGGGACTGCGTGCACAAATCCTCGTGTGCACAGGCAGGTTTGAAGGGAAACTAGTAAAGCAATGGGCCTGATAAATTCAATAGAACCGGGTGATGGGTAATAACAATCAATTGAAAGCATTTACAGGTACAATACATGTCCTTACAGGTGATCCTAGAGAATCAAACAATACAAAGGATTAGCACAGCGTTGTTTCCGTTCTAGTTCTTTTGTATTGGCAATAACTTGAAAGACATGGTCGAGGGTTGCGTATATTACTAGGCCTAGTAATAAGTTGAACAAGGCCAAGGGTGACGGTTAACTTTGAGACTTGTATTTTTTCATGTCATCGTCTTTCTTAATGACGCGTCAACATGTCCATACCTCCATGACATGTCAATCACTGCAGATATGTTCATCAAACGCCTCCATGATCAAATCATGGAGGTAAATATCTCCATGGTCAAATCAAGCAGCAAGATTATTTAATTGTTTAGATTGATCAGGTACTTAAAGGACACAACTCGTTTAATATTTCACCAGTGGCCCTTACGTTTGTAATGTTTGTCGTTAAATTTAATGATCAACTGGACATTCTACAAAGAATATTCTGTGGTGCTACGTAAATAGTGTTTGCGATATTCTCTGTCATTATTCGAGTTTACATAGGCTTATTGTTGAAATGAGCGCCGAATGTTAGAATGCAAATAAATTTGCAATATACCAATTGGTCTATAGTAGTTGAACATACAAGCATCCATTCATAGGGCCCACGTTAACCCCCACCACTTCTTATGGATAGAGATGTACCAGTAAGACTGAGAGGTGCCATTATTTACATAAAACGAACGAATTCCATTTTAAGACACGCAATACCTGGACGAACAGAGAAGTACGGTAGTGTATACAATACCTCGTATAGTTACCGTAATGAGCATTTTATCAGTCACATGTCCAGTAGGCCTTGTATGATTATGAGCGGGATATGAAACTATTGTAACACTGTATGGTAAATTTATGAGCCAAGGAAAGTGTGTTAAACTCAGAAATATTTCCATATATATGTAAACATAGTAATAGGCCTATATGAAATACGTCAATCTGAGACACGGGCAAAACAGGTAAACAACCCATAGTATGGCGTGACACAGGCCTACATGGTATATGAGTAAGAGTTTGGTAAGAACTCCATAATTGCTTTCCGAATGAGTAACGAGTAGAAGCAAACCGATATCCCTTGGCATGCGTTGAGTTATGTATGCTTTGACAGGAGAAGGGGAAAAGACAAGCCACATTGTGAATGACTGAGACACGTTGAATTGATTGTGACGGACTCAGGCCAGTCTGGCTCGGGAACATGTTCAAGATAAAATCCCTCTGTGGTATTAACACGATTACAGAATTTGTATTTTTACTTTCGATTTTGGTTCTCTTTCGTAGACATAATTATGGTAAACTACTTTATATTTCTAAAAAAAAGAAATTGAACATTATAACTAAACACAGCTAAGTAATAATAAACGCTATATAGGTCTTATGTTGTGGTAGTGCGAAAATTATGTGCGTGTATCGTTGTTTTGCAACTGCTTTGCAATTTTTATCAGGAGGGTTGGTTGTTAAAACTTTAGTAAACTTAGTTTCTTCAGAAATGTTACCATTTAAGTCAATAAAGCTAAATGTCTCTTTAGTGTTTATGAATAACTCGATCACACACACACACACCCACACACACACACACACACACACACACACACATAGGTTAAATGTGTCAGTACACTCTACTTCATGTTCCACTATACAGTATATACAGTATTTGAAACGGTACCAAAAAAGAAAGATGGGCGTTGTGGTTTCTGCAATTTGATATTATCACTACTGTATTGGACTGTTAAATTCGTCGTCCTTGGGCCTGGCACGCCATTGCGATTTTTTGTTTACGAGCCAGGAAACTATATTGCATTATGATTCCATAAATACGATGCAAAACAGGTAGCAAACATTCAATGCATTAGGCACTCGTCACAAAGAACAACCAACAAAATTAAACTCAATTGGAGTGAATTAGTAAGATCCCATAACGAGGCTGGAGTAGTCGCCAGCAAAATATCGTTTGAAAGAGCAGTCGTATATTTAATGCAACTTTTATCATTTGAGCTCACTAAAGGCGAGGTCAAATCATCACCAAGGGACCACACTAGTCTTTCGGCGTGTTTTCCTGTTCAACATGGCTTAAAATATTTAGGTATATATGCATTATACGTACACTAAAACAAACCACAGGAAACTGCGAATATTGCTTATCAATATGCTTTCAACATACTCCAACACATTGTAAATATATTTCTCCCAATTTCCAGTGTCAGAAATATATGATGACGTCATAAATAAAGTAGGATAATGTATTTATATTTAATATAGCCTACATACATCGGTTAATATCAAAATCATATTTAATGATAAATGTAAAGTAAATGATATAATCATAATCGACCGTTGTAAATGGTATTATTAAAATATGATGAATTTAGACCACATTAATTTTTATTCTACGATATACGGGTCAGGGTAATGTTTATGAAGTAAGTTAATGGCCACTCAATGACGACATCACTCATTAATAAATCATCGACTTTTAGTATAGGCTTTGCTTATTCACATTCATTACGTGATAACTGTAAGGCGAATTAAAAATGACATTTTCGGAATATCACAATGCTCAGATGAAAACAAAAATGTTATTAGAAAAACTATGGCGCGTTCTATTAATAGGCCTATATCGCGTAGGTCTGTTACTAGGCCCTGCAAATGTGATTAAAAACAGTATGACACCTAATCAAAGGAAGATACCTCAGGATGTTTGCATTTTGAATAAGGCTGAACGCAGCTGACGAAGTGTGAGCTCGTGAGATAGACACTACTGTAAAACATTTTTAATACTTCGGTTTCGAGAACCCACAAAACTCATGGCCATATCTTTACAATAATTCCTGATAAACCTTTTATTCCTGATAAACGAACTTACCCACTAGCTTACTACGCCTATGGGTGAGCACTAATTGAAAAGAAGGGACTGTACAGTACAGCGAGTTCGAACACAACATGGCTGTTTTTTTCAGCTGAAACCGGAGAACCTAAAAGCTATGGCGTAAATCAAAGACACAGTCGTTATACTGATATTATTCAGCAATCTCGGAAGTAATTGTCCTCTAGAAAATATTTCAAATTTATAACGAATAATACAATCATCACTTTACTTTTGTTAACGTGTAAATCTATTGCTTGAGCATGAAAAGGTAATATTTTTGCACGTTGCAACTTGGAATACAAGTGAGCAAACTAAAGTATATTCACTATATTTATAATAACTGGAAATTAATTCCTTAAATACGAATCTAATAAAAGCACTGTAAAGAAACGAGTATTTTAACCAGAGCAAAGGTTTAGTTTGGGAATGGATGTTAATACGAAAAACGGATATCATTCTAAAAGTGTTCATTTTAGGCAATGATTGTCAAGAGAAATTCAAAACTACTTGTGAGTTTTCCGTTGGTGACTCATTACTAGAGACTGCCAACAAAATACAACCCCAAAAACAAAAAAACTCGAGCGATTTGAGGATTGAAGCACAGACGTATTGACGGGCTTAAAATTGGTGACGACAAGAAAACGAGAAGCAATGCTATAGCCGTTATTTTGTCTGGCAAGAGATAACAGGGCCAAGCCTAATTTCTTGTGTATTGAAGGAAGGGGCCCATAACAAAATTAACAGCGATTATAAGGTAATGCAATTATGCAGTCAAACCTAAACGTACGACCTTCGGTACAAATGACTAGTGGGATCAGTTTAGAATATGTCTAACGTATACCATCTGAGACCGTGTTAATTTCTAAAAGTTGTTTACAATATTTTGTAATGCAACTGTATTTTCCTTTGTGGTAGACACACAGACGGTTGACTTTTTCTTATTCTAGTAACATTACAACAATATTCATGATTTTCAACTAAAACCGTCTGAAAAATATTCGCATCACTGTGAATATGGCGGGTTCCTTATACCTCCATGATCAGTGTATTCAGAAAAATTCTTTCAATTCAAAGCAAATACTGTATGAAAATGTAGCAGACACAGCCAACAGTAAGACAATATATAATAAGCACACTGAAAGACCATGACCAACAAAGTGGGCACCATCAACCAATGACATACGTATAATGCATTCTTATTTCAATCAATTTAAATTATATTTCTTTATTTTTGGAATTAGTTTTTATGCTACGCCGCAAAAAGTATGCTATAAGCTTCAAATATTTTAAGCAACCTACCAATAAAAATAAATTTTCTTCATGTGGTGTGGTGTTATTTGAACCATGGATGTTTGAACAGCATATGATTAACGTTCATGGGTAAAGTATTTAAATTAGAAATGGGAATAAAACATTTTTCGGGATGGAACAAGTACCATAGGCTACAAAATAAAAAACTTTTTTTGAGATTCGAGTACGCAGTAGTTAATTTAGTAATTCCTTAATGAATCTTGACAGTGAATGAGGATGTATATTGTGGATTCACAAGGCAAAGGTCAAATCCACGATGAAAAATATAGGCCCACATTGTAATAGTTCCACTGTTAAATCGAGGATAGGTGGTTGTGTAAATATCAGAGTGGATGTTCAGGGGAACGTAACTGCATCCGCAGACAATAGACGAAGGTTTATTCTCTCTGTCAAATGCATACAAATTAATTGTATACCAGAATTCAATAGCATTAATGTCCAGTGAGTAAATGACCTAGAAGGAAAAAAAAACAAAACTTTCATGGCACCAACGTTAATTCACAGTCTTACTCACCCGACTTGTGGCTGTTGCTCCGGAGGATCCATTCACAGGTATATTCGTCACACTAACAGCTAGATAGTCGTTATAAACCAATGGCCAAGCACCAGAAACTTTGCATGTTTGAAATTTATCCGAGAAAGTTCTCAAATGAGGATCTCCAAAGAGACCACAATGTGTTAAATCCTCGGGCCTACGATTACCACGATAGTCACAAGTGCTGTCCCGTTCGGGTGGTGTGGGACGGGATCTCTTCGCAGTCACCGTCATCCGTGTCCCCTTCGGAGGACGCCGTGTTGTCGTCGGGATGTTTGCTAAAATATTGGCACAGTCGTAATCCTGCATAAGATCGGGAATGTAGGTGGTGATAGTATGATAGTTAAGATTTCCACGACAGGACCTTGCTGTATTCTGTGTGCAAGTTTGATATCGCTGTAAAGCTTGACACTGCTGTAGAACGTCAGACTCCGTAAGAGAATCAGTTGCAGCAGTGTACTGGTGCGAACAACGAAGAACTTTACATTCAGAAAAAACTGGGGAGAAAGGAACGTACACAGATTATGTTTAGCTTTTAAGCATGCAAAAATTTTAAAACATCATGCAATATTGAGTAAATACGCCGGCGTCATATTGAAACAATTATCAATTTTGTATAGGCAAATATCAAATATAATGTATAAGGCGTCGTAATATTTCATAACGAAGACGAAATCAAATTCTGATAAAGTGGACAATTTTTACTCACCTGTTTGAAATAAACTACAAAGAATGACGAATTTTATGACAAGTGCAATCGGGCCAAAAGCCGCGCTGTTGAAGCGCCTTTTCCCCATAACCTTCCATGTAGCTAGGCCGTAATCCGGAAAGTGGCTGGATCTGCTGGCCGGTTCGCAAGCTCTGTGGATTGGAAAATGGATCAGCATCAGTATCTATCAATCAACTCATACATTGTGAGCTCACACAACCGAGTAACACGGTGCTAGTAACAACAGCGCCACGCCACACGTATTTGTCAGGAAACGTAAATTCCGCTACTTTGTGTAGAAACAGATTTGTATGTGATTATATCCGAGAGATCATACAAAAAAATAACCGCGTCGTATTATTCGAAAACACATTGGATATACACCTTACAGCAATGTAGCTCGTCAAGCTAGCATGCCGAACTGAATTTGGCTGTCGACCCCACTTCGCTGAATCGTGGTCATTAAATTAGATTTGGTGGCCTGAAGGCAGCTGTCAACTCCAATTGAAAATAAACACCCTTTCGGGGTCGTCTATCGGTCCAAAGCATTGCCGTACAATGGAATAGCTAAGCACACTCAGGTAGCCGCTATTGACTGCTTTATTCAGTGGAGCTCAACACTTCTGAATAACAAAATAAAGCAGCATTTTGTTCTTTTGTGAAACTAACAATTAATTTTATTTGGCCTTAAATCGTGCAAATTTCCAATTGACTACGTGATTACGTGCTGAATGGGGAACCTGTGAGTTCGTACTAAAGACAGTGTCACTTTTGAAGTAAGAGCAAAACAATGTACATCGCAATAAATCGATTTTCTCTATAAAGAAGCAGAGTGCTTTGAACATGCAACGTTTACTACACATTCAATTAAAGGCTTAGAAACTCGCAACCCGGGCTTACGCAAGATATTTTCATTAAAAACATTAATGCGAAGTGTAAACTATAAATATGTGTGCTGCCGTTTAATTAGCTGATTATAAATATCGAAAATTACAAAAGAATTATAAAGAAAGAGAAGAGAAATCACATACAAAACTATAATTATAAGAGGTATGAATTGGATGAAAAATAATGAATAGTATGAACCACTGATTTGGTGTGGGCCTATCTCATGCTTAAAAGTTGCCGCGAATGATGAGGTCATGGCTAACATAGCATACATGGTGGGGTAGTATCCGAAGGTTAATTGCATACCCTCGTATAAATTTGCAAATCATGTTGGCGATACTGTGCAGACGTTAATTTATCGTCGTTGATTATGGCCCAGAGCAAGTTTAGTCGGGGTTTGTTGTGCCTACAAAGTTAAAAGCGTTTTCATTTCGTATGTAATAAGGTATGGTATGGGCGACATTTTAGATGAGGAATTCATATACGTCATTTATTGATGGTATTTTTGTGGCGCTCATAATGAAGCCAAAACGCTGTTAGCGAAGCATATCATGTTATGCTATCACACAGTGAATGTGCCGCATGGGTTAATCAGGAAAATAAAAATAACGATTTTATAAATCCTATCGTCGACTGTGAAATGAATACATTGGTTATTTTCATACTCAGAAGAAAAATAATAAATTCAATTCAACATGCAATGTTATTTATTACCTATGTTATTTATGCATCCTATATTCATTACAAAAGATAGGCCTATGCCTGTGTGACTATAATGATAATGTCACGCACGCAAAACGCACATCATACACATACAGACGATCTCATCATAAAGTGATATTTACTACTAAAGACACGCACTTATTTTATGGAAAGACAGGTATAATGATACAGTATAGGCATAAATAACCAGGGGACGAAAGAATTATAGGCCTACTAATCTATAGTATAAGCCCTGGCAGATTTACTGCTTCATTAAAAATCGTCAGGGTTTGAAACGCCCTTATAATAGGCCTAATATTCAGTTTTGATTGACGGGTCTGATTACGTGGTGGAACGGAGTAGAGCTTCTGGGTCTTGTTGTGAAGGATCGCGCGAAATATCACGCAGCGCACAGCGGGTAAGCGGCCGTGAAAACACTTTGATGTTTATCCTCACGGCGGCTGTATTTACCGCGAGGCATTTCCATCAACGGTAACACGATCGGTAATAATACGCAGATTGCACCACGTGTTGGAAAATTTGAAATTAAACATGATTTTTTTTTTCAGATCGTGGTAAGATATTCGGGCCAAGTATAGCCTTAGAAAAGCCAAAAAAAAAAAAAAAAAAAAAAAAAAAAAAACACAACTGGCACAAAATGTTTATGGATTAGCGCATAAACGACATTAAAATGAATAGGTCTACTGGTAAAGAAAAACGATCAAGAACTTATGCAAAACGTGTTAGAAGATAAACGTATCTTCACGTGTCATTAAGTCAAGAAGAAACCATCCGTATGCAAACATTTTTTTAAAGCAAGAAATAACTTTAGCTTGCATTTGTACATAGGGCCTATATATAGGATTTTTTAACGGTGGCGTGTGTGGATTTCAGCATTTCTGTATGTAGAAACTTTCCTATTCACGCTGCCACGGGCAATGCGTGATGAGATTCCGGTTAGGCCTTATGCTGAAGCCATTATACATCGATTCCAAAACACTATCTACATTAAACGAATCAATCATTGTATTCCTACGGTAGTTATCATCAGACCCGGCACGAATACCGACAGAGAAGAACAATTAAACATATTTTCATACATATTAACACTTGCCTCCGGATAGACAAAGAATAATGAATCGTATACAGATCGTTAACAAGTAAATGATAAAATTTTATATTGAAGAAGACTGATATCGCAAATATAGGCATTTTAATCGTCATGGTCGTATACGTCAACCGGTAGGCCTACAGTTAGCAAAGTCTACTATAGTTAGTGTACTAATGTATGCTGTTAGGCATAGTGTAAATAGTTAAGACATTTATCCATAATTAATACGTGAAATATTTTGTTTTACTATTCTTCGTTTTGTTAATACGATAATTGAGGGTCCACTATGATCAGATCGTTAATATTCACAACTTCCCTCTATTTTGTTCGTCTGCCTATCACCAGGTAAACTAATACCGCGCCTATATTGCGTACTGATGAGAAAATACAAGTAAGACATCGATTGATAGTTTTTTTTTTAATGAAATAAAAATCAAACCCGGGCTCAAGGTAATTGTAACTTTTATAGCCACGTACAGTACCACCATTCGGGAGACGATTAGCTATAAAACCTGTGTAGTACAGTTACTACCTTCTGATGGTATTATAATCAGCTCAAGGACTTTAACAGGTATGGTGTTACCACACACTGTCACCGGCCTAGAGATGCTCAACGGGGTTTGAGCATGGTTTGAGCATGGACCTATTAATATGGTCTTATTAATAGGTCCATGGTTTGAGCATGGAGGTATTGGTTTGAGCTTGAGCAAGCTGCTGACCTTGGGTCTCTGTCGGCGGATTAACAGCATCAAAGAACGACAAATCACTAGGCTTTCCATTAAGAGCGTCCATGCGAAAATAGAAATCAGTCCGAGTATTTTCAGTTCATAACGCTTGACGAGGTTTTGTCAGAGACCGTGTTCAGTCAAACGGAAGAAAAATGGGAGACTTTCAACCTTATACCTCCCTGTTTCAACTATGGCCACGCATACACTCGTATTATAATATCAACGTATCTTAAATGAAAAATATAATACGGATTAATGTTAACAGACGGACGATCAAGCGACAAGTGAAAGTGTGCGTGCGCATGTCACGTGTGTGATTGGAGGTGAGAACAGACCACCGCGTCAAACTGGCTAGAAAGGTCGCAACTTTTCTGCCAATAGAGGGCGCTAAGCCGTTAATTCTGGGGAGGTTAAAAACTTTCGATGAAGCGTTTTCCTTTGTTGATATCTAATGTGACCTGTAATTATTGATATTTCCTACATCAGATATCGCTTTTCTTTTCCGGCTTAATCCCTCCCCTCAGGTGATGGTTGGTTTTGGCAAGCATCAAACGCTACCAAGTTCAAATCTATCTGGGTTAACTATAAATGTAGTGAGAACGATGTTTCGATTTGGGATTGTTTTCAACAACATTCAAACACAAAATAATCTGTAGAATTACAGTACTTGCTCGCCAAATGCAATGACCTACTTTGTTTTGGCGGCAGCTCCAGGGACATAAAGTGGTGATTTATCTGTTTGCCTGCTTCGTTGCGTAGTAATGGTCGGTGCTTCACGATCCATTTTGATGTGTGATGCGTTTTCTTTCCCTCTCTATTGCGCTCTAGTACGAGAGCCCATCAAGTCTAGACGTCAAATTGCGTGGCGGTGTCATTGAAGTTGGAACATAAATGTAATGATCATTGTCGAAACAAATCATTACACGCAACACAACAAATGACAAATGTAAGATGAAGCCACTAGATTGTGTGACCACGATTTATATATCTCAATAAACTATGACCTAGCAATATTTAGGCCTGTATTCGCATAATAGATACGACAGTTTTTCTACACCAGGTGTAATTTTACGCGCACGCATACAATGGCGATTTCTCGATTGCAATGATATCTTCTTTATAGATCTATTGCAATCTGCTATACAATCACATTTGGTTTTTGGATAGACTTTCTCTTTCACGCATGCATCCACCGCGGAGACAACTTTTATTTTAGTCATGTCAGTTTATGGTTCTAGTAGCTCACTATCCCACTGAGTCACATTGATACCAACAATACTCGGGCTTACGTACACCTCTCTCCTGTACATGTTTCATATACAATCGTTTGTGATTCTATAGAGCACGAAATCGAACCAAACACAATAGTAATTGGTCTGTGCTCTGCTGTGCATGTTTTGAGTAGTGTAACAGAAGGCGAAATGCAATGTTTTCGTTTTCTGTGACATATATCATCTGACGGTATAACCACGCAAACGAAACATCAGACCCTGCCTATCAAGGGGCCGGAGCAGTGTTTCGACAATTATGAAGCCAACCACAAGTACTGGCTAAGGACCGCCTCCACGTTGTATGCCGCTGCCGCAAACCATATCAAAGAGAAAGAATGGGCAGACAAGGCGTATCCCCATGTTATGTCGTGACCGGCAGACGCCGCACGCGCAAGCTTTTCTCTCACAAATAATAGGTACCGTATCTGTCGTAATAATTTTAACACGATGACACATAACATCCAAGACACTAAACGTAGGCCAAGAGACACGGACGAATGATAGCGACAGACGCGATTAGTGAATCCCTAGGACGGATTCACTCGTCTGTAGCCACACTTCCGTCCTGTTTGCGCTGCGCAACGTAGATTCGGGCCAAAACGGCATAATACGTTACGTCATTACGTTTTAGATCTTACTGTCTTCGTGCAATCGAAAGCTCTAATTTATAAGGTTTAGAAATTAGTTCCACTAAAGTGGGTTAAAATACTAAAAGTGACCATTGAGTTTTAGATTGGAATAGAAATGTACTTTCGCTCTTAATTTTCGCACACCCAGTTCCGCATTCTCAATTTTCGCACCCCCTAACCCACCCCAGGATGAAATCAGCCTACACCCCTGATCATGTATTTCATTACCATTTCATTATTATCAATTAGGCCTATCATTAGGACGCCATTTGGCCCGAATACTTTGTGCAGGTTCTCGTAGTCACACAAATCGAGAGTTCTTCAGAAAATCGTGATTCCATTACCCG